AATAAGAGCACTTATCATCTTAACCCTTTTTTTTTGCATTTTTCTTTTTTTAATTCCTGGAGGTTATATAATTTTTCTTACGTGGCTATACTGTAGCACCCATACCCGCCACCGACTCAGACTAGCTAGGCTTTCTAGAGAATACTGTTATTATAAATTTTAATCACGACCGGTTTAATTATTAAATTGAATATAATCATTTCTAGATGACAAATTCATGCGTATTTTGATAATTAATAATATGTATATTAATTATATTCGATGAAGTAACTGGTATGATCTTATATGTAATAATTTTTGTATCAACTTAAGGAATACATACAATATTTTCAAAAAACATAAGAACAACATTTTTAATTTTTCAGTCAACCGAACTATATATATTATTTTAATTTAAGGAGTTAAATATTTTTCTGTGGTGATAGAAATGGTCAGAAAACCCAAACAAGGCCCTACTATAAAACATGATATAAAATAGGGTTAAGAGTAAAAAATACTCATAAAAATATATCAAAAGTTTACCCAATACCATGAACTTCTTCTGGGTTCAAATCTTTCCATCAAAGTTTAAAAAGAGGTTAATAATACCAGCGCCGTTAATGTCTATTTTTTTAGTCATGGGTATTTTTGACCCATAACTTTTTTTCATTGGAGTATTTTGGTATTTTCATTAAAAAAAAAAAGCGAGCCCCACAGCTTAAAAAACCGACATTAACGGCACTGGTATTATTGATATCTTTTTAAATTTTGATGGGTAGATTTGAATCTAAAAAAAGTTCATGGTATTAGGTAAACTTTTAGTAAATGTTCATAGGTATTTTGACCCTTAATCCTATAAAATATCACAAAGCCCCAACGGCAAGTAGTTTAATCACTCAATTTGCGTGGCTTAATTAGTCCTTTGATGCTGCAAAATATCTTCCCAGACAAAGACGTCTAGCAAGTGAAACTTGTATTTTTCATGCCTGTGAAGGTGATTTGACGAGGTTACGTTGGTTAAAGTGAGAAAACAACATGCTGGATGACAATTGAAGAAGAATTTTTTAAAAATATATTTATATTTGGAGTTAAAAGCTAAGAAGCAAACAAAAATTCTCACAATGTTGTGATTGAGGTTTGAATTCTCACTGGAAAAAATATACATATTTAGCACTTGATCATATTTCAAATAAAATTATTTTCAATAAGAAGATGCATGTGACCAATAAAAAAAAAATAAGGAAAAAATGTGATGGACCCTTCCCTTTCTTTTCTCTCAATCTCATCTTTTTCCTTTTTCTTTTTTCTTCTCCTATTTAATGGGGAGTTTGGCAAGCGCTACAGTCACTTAAAAAAAAAATATTTTCACATAAATCGAAATAAAACTCTTCTTACATATTTATTTTGTATGTCATAAAATTACTTTTAAAAAGTTGGGTTGATACAAACTTTGGTCATTCAAATTTATTTTCATTTTAGTTTTGGTCTATTAAGTTTCAAATCATAGGTTTTGGTCCGTCAAATTTTTTTCATTTAAAATATTAGCCCCTATAATCTAATAAAAAGTTAGAATATTTTGCCCCTTAAGGGACTAAAAACTATGGTTTGAAATTTGAGTTACTAAAACTAAAATGAAATTAAAATAAACTTGAAGGACCAAATATTATATTAATCTTAAAAAGTTAATCCAAACATCCCCAGCCTCTAAATCAAAGGAAACTCTAATTCTTTCAAACTTTTTCTATATTTTCTTTTCTGAACTTTTCAACCCATCTTAAACGTAGCATGGGGTTATTTGAGCTATATATTCTAAAATCTCTACACCCATTAAATAATAAGGCAAGAATTCTGCTTCGAATTCACAAGTAGTAGTTATTGTGAAATTCACATGGTATTTTTTCCAGGGAATACTCAATTTTATAAGCTGAACAAGATTGAATTATTAAAAGGAACATGCATGTTAGAATAATGTGAACATTAATTGCCTCCAAATTACAAGCGTGTGGCGAGGACACATGGAAGGGGGGCATATGATACCATACCAATTACCAACTATTACTATTTGTTTATTAATGTGTGGCATCTTGGCAGTTTTAAGCCAACTCTACAGAGATAGCAATGATGTTTCCACTTTTAGCAAAACAAATCATGCAATTAAAGAACAAATCTAATACCATAATAATATTCTCATTTGCTTCCCTTTCGGCTTTTTTAAATGAGGAATAAATCATTAGTCTTCTGCTTTCGATTATGCAGCGTCTCTAATCATTGAAGCTCCCCAATTTAATTTCACAGTGCTGCTATTAGCCTATCATCATCATCTCCTCTATGCCATTACTTAATTAATCAATTAATACTTATATGGAGTGTTGTTTTAATAAGTGCTACAGTTTGTTCATAATAATAACAACAATAATTACTTATTATGGGCCAATCTCAAAACGCGACAAAACAGATCGACTTGTGGGAAGCAACCTACACAAACATCGAAGAAAGAAAGCTATGAAATGAGGAGGCTATTTATTTGTAGGCAGCTGAGCTGATTAGCTATTATTTGTATAGAAATGTGAAAATCAATCTTCATCACACGTTGTATATTACATCATACCTATATATCTCGCAGTCCGTACGGGCCACATCCCTCGACCTATATTCATCTATAGTTCAAAATTTACTGCAAAGTGCACACTTTTCAAATTCAGCACAAAATGTAAGTCTACATAATTCCTATACCAGGTTAAAATTTCAACACTTTGATCCTCCAATAATGGTTATTATATAAATAATTTAACATGATTATTTGATAATCTTATATGAAGTTTGAGAACTAACTAACACTGTTTATAAATGCTCTGGATACATGGATACTGAAGCCATGACAGATGCTTTTTCCACTTTAATTCACTTATTTAATTTGCTAGCTGATCTATTGTTCTTGTTAAGAAAGGGTTTTAATAAATTATGACGTACATGTAATGTTTATTATATTTTAGTCAAATGATATCTTATATCCGTGTTTTTCCATTTTCCGCCGTTATGCACATGATCAATTTCCAAGATTTGTTTTGGACAAGGGAAAAGGTGATCAGTCTTTGAGGCATTTTTTTTTTTTTTTTTGGGTTAATTCCATATATTTAGAGCTTATTATCAAGTATATTTACAGCACAAATATTATGGCCCCGCATGTGCACAGCTTAGAAAATTTTAAAAAAAATCTTGAATCTTACATGGGCAGCGGCATTGTTAAGGTAATTGGGTGTAGATTCTTCATATTAATTATTGGGAGAATTATAATTAAGTCTTATAAGAAAAAAAAATTACAAAACAAGTCTTACAGACTGTCATTCTCCACTGTAGGACTTATTATTACAAGCATGCTTAGGTTCTTATTGGAACCTTTTAGTAATTATTTTTTTCTTTGAGATTTGATTATAATTCTCCCTTAATTATATCATCCTAGACAATGGACAAAGGTAGTGCTGAACTGCAAATTGATAAAGGAACGAACATAGCCAATCATGTAAATATAAACACCGGCTCTCATTAGCCACATACAGAATGTGGCGATAACTAACTAACTGTGTTTTTCTTAAAAATTTTAAAAAATTATATGATGAGAAGAAAAAAAAGAATATTTCGAAACAAGCTCTTTTCATTTAAATAATTAAAAATAATAAAAATATCATCATGATTTGAAAAGTCAATAAATTTAAGTCCTTTCTTTGATGAGAATTTTACTGTGTTCGAGTTCTTACGTTCGAAGGGCTTTCATTTAGAAAACTTTGCCTTTTTCATAGTTCATTTATATGTTGTGTAAACTGTAAAAGATTAAAAGGAAATCTTGTCTATCATTTGGAAAAAGGAAAAAAGACATATTAGCTTTACCAAAACAGATCAATAAAGGCATGCTTCTTCCTCAAATACATATAAAATCATATTCACAGACCTCCAACTATCTGTCGCAAGTCACCGCACCTGTGAGATTCTCACTCGGATGTGTCATGCATGTGTTTGTACATCACAACATTATGCATAAATATATATATTATAAAAGCAACGTGGCATATATATGATGATCACTTTTTACACACGGTAATTTATAGCCTCCAATAGGCTGATTCATTAATTAGTTTACTAATTAACCAGACCCAATCCTTCAACTTGGTTTTGCTATCTGCAATATGGCAAAACCCTTAAGATGCGTATGACATGAAGCATTGAAAATGAGAGGCAGAAATTGATATTGAGATTGAAAAAATATGTTAAGAGAATGTCTAGTATAAGTGATTGATTGTTATTTGAGATTAGACAAATTCATATATGTGGAACTGGAAAATACCATAGGGGAAGGTGATATTCTCCAATTCCACCTACATGGGATTACCCAATCCCATATAATAAAAAATTACTCTTACTAAACATTCTTAGATGATTTTTTTTAATCCCAACCCCAATCTTTATACTTTATTTTTAATTCTCCGTACCGGGACCTTAGTATTTTTAGGTGGAATAATGATCAATTTGATCTTCCTGATGAATTCTATATGTAGCACCCAATTCTCCCTTTCTCTTAAAAAAAAAAAACTAAAAATGCATCCACAAACTTAACATCTGAGACTAGTTAATGAGTATGAATAAATGTGAGAGTTAATGAAGTTTTATAAATTAAATAGTATGCGTATGCGTGTCCATAATTTTTAAAACCAAACTGCGTATTATATTTCTATATTTTTTCTTGATTCTCATTTTTTTTAATTATTTGTGAACCCACTCATAGATTTGCTAGCGATGGTGTGTGTTGTGCGTGTGTTGTTAAAAGATAAACAAATAAATATTGAAAAAGTGTAGTGAGTGCAAGTAAATGGAGAAAAGGGTGGAATGAGAATGAGAATGAGAATGGGGAGACAAGGGCACATTTGGTGAAATTATTATTAGATGTAATGTCATAGTCACTCTTTTATAGTGTACCCTCCATTTATTACCCCCCCATTGCTCTCTTCTCTTCCATCATCCACTCAATCCTCTTCATCTTCCCTCTTCCTTAACAATTATCACCTCCCTCACATTCCCTTCTCCTTTCTCTCTCTCCCCTCCAATTAGGGTTTCAATTCCTATATATCACTTCTCTGTGACTTATCACTCTCATTGCCTATACCTACCTTTTCTCCGCAAGGGAATTCAACCGCAGCTTCTCAAGGTAACTAACTAATTCCCTTTTGGTCCTTCTTCTGATCTTAAAGGAACCTCAAAAACAGTTAACAGGAATTGATGAATCATGTTCATGAAGAGAACAAGTTAAATTCCTTGCTTCTAATAATTTTCCGTGTTTTACTTCCTTGATCTGTTCTCTTTCTTTTGAGTTCTAGCTCCTACTCTGGATCCTTTTTCTTTGTTTCCTTTTCTGGGTTGTTGTAGGCAGGATCTCTTTGATAAGTACTTCTTAGGGCTTTTCCATTTCGTTGTTCTTTTCATGTTTATTTTATGAAATCATGATGAGTTTTGTATTAATTATGGCTCGTTATGAAGTCATCAGTCAGATACCTGCTGCTCATCTGATTTCTTCAGAGATGGAAATTAATAATAGCTATCTACTTGATCGTGCGGCTAAATTCTTCCTGCAGAAGAGATAAAGTGTTCTTTAATTTGTTCTGCTCTAGTACTACTGTACTACTGTGACTCTGATGATCAGGGACTGAAACATTCAGTCAACAACAGAACATGAGCACAAGATCATTGTAAACTAAATGAAGTTTCCCGAAATACGCTAATTGGAGTTTTAAGTTTAAAGCTGATTAAAGATTCTTTTCTGAATTAATTCCGTCATAGTAATCAATTTGAAGAAGGGGAAGAACACATAAACAGAAACGGAAGGAAAATACTGGGAAAAGAAGAGTGTGCGTGTGTGTGTAGGAAAGGGAAGACCAAGAAATGGAAAAGATAGCACTGTTGTCATATAATAATATGCAAGGGATGATATATGGAATTTTTAAATCAAACCCAGAAAAGTTGTATGCGCAGTGTATGCATGTGCTTGTATTGTATCAGAGAATTCTTTGTGGAAAAGGTAAGAGGTTTGAGACATTAACTAAAGTAATTGATCCAAACTGAACTCTCTTGCAATAGACTAATAAGGGAATGCTTTTAATTAATATATTTCTAATCAAGCTCAGTTCATCTCAGTCGCTAGACGTTAATTTTGACTACACCAAGACAGCAAAAGAATGAAAGAGTGACAAAGGGGAGAAAGAAAGAGAAGTCTTAAAATTACAGAAAACAAGAATTGGTTAATGGGTTTTTTTTTTTTTTTTTGGTAGTGAAGAGAGATCGAGATGGCGTCGTCGTCGTCGTCAAGCCCTTACAATTCTCCATGTGCTGCCTGCAAATTCTTGAGGAGAAAATGCTTGCCAGGTTGCATCTTCGCTCCTTACTTCCCACCGGAAGAGCCTCAGAAATTCGCCAACGTTCACAAGATATTCGGTGCCAGTAACGTCACTAAGCTCCTCAACGATCTCCTTCCTCACCAGCGAGAAGACGCCGTCAACTCTCTCGCCTACGAAGCCGAGGCTCGCGTCAAAGATCCCGTTTACGGCTGCGTCGGCGCCATCTCCTTCCTCCACAGGCAGGTCCAGAGGCTTCAGAAGGAGCTCGATGCGGCTAACGCCGTTCTGCTTCGTTTTGCCTGCGACGACATCGCGTCTCAGCCTGGATTGACCCCTTCAGTTCAACCATGCCTGCCTCAACGACAAAGGCCTGTGAACTTTGCCTCTGATGACTTTTACCCGCAATCTTCGAGCAGTTATTCTCTTCCTTGGGCTGATTCTTCTTCGGACGCCTTCAATAATGGAGGAGGTAATTTGTGAATTAGACTAGTAGAAATGGAAACCCCTTCTAGGGTTTCTACTTAACCTGCCCTTGCCCTATGATCTCATGGTATCTGACATCATATATATCTAGTGATGCACTCTAGCTAGCTGGAGCTGATGGAGCCTTATTACTTGGACTCTTGCCCATATATATACGTGACTTGAGGTCTCTCTGAAAGAAAAGTTAGGCAACCTTTTCTAGAGTTTACTGTTAATTTCTTTGATAACACTTTAACAATTGGAGACTATATTTTTCTTTGTTTGATAATAAACACTCGAAAAGATTTACCTTGATCTGTCTACTGCTACTTCTCTATTGTTTAGGATCATTCTTCAATTACAGGGGAATTTAACTAGTAAAATTTCATGGGCTTTCAGTGTGGCTTCTTAGGGCCTAAATATAAGTTGGTGACTTGCACAATATTATAAGTGTGGTGGTTAGGTAGTACCCAAAAAAAAAAAAAGCGTGGTTAATTACGTATAGACCCATCAATTTATGTGTTTATAAGATGTGCAATGTGCATGCGGCGGGGTTGACATTCTCTGTAATTGTTTATGACTAAGAATAAAAAAGGGATAAATTTACATAATCTTGGGTAAAGAGGATTCTAAAGCTCAAGTCTAAGGCTTAGTCCTACTTTACCCTATATATTCTTGCATTTGTTTTCCTTCCACTTTGTTTGTCTATGAATTATTAATTACGAACCAATTCGATCTCTTACCACTGATTTGAATATGGTTTTCCTTTTCTGTTTGTGGTCTATAATACCTTTACACTTTCTACTTTTTTACCTCTCTAATAATGTTTCGTCAAATCTTAACTTACCTTGAATTAAACGCTTACACACTGACTATAGATAATAAGAAGCTTGTTGGCTAGTAGGGTTTGAACTTTCTCCCAACTTTGACCCAACAGTTCAGTGGCCAGAAAAGTTTTCTCCAAACGTGTCTTTGATGCATTCCTAACTTGATGTTTACATTTTAGACGATAGATCTAATTATTTCTTTATTAATTAATGTGTATGACTATAAAATAGTGTGCAAAAATATGGCAGACGTACATTGGATCCAGAAAATAGAGTAGCATTAGTTCATCCTTTACGGTTTTCAGCATCTCTTTTTTGTTGCTTTAAATAATAATAATAATAATACTTATTTTTTTTGGCAACAGAAGTACCCTAACGTTTCGATGCTGTTACTATCAGTAACAGTCATCCCCTGCTGTGACAGTGAAAACAGTGAGACCATGGACAGAAAGTCACAACAACTGAAACCCTCTTTCTCTGTCTCCCTCTTATCTACAGCTACATTAACAACAATTTGCGCATGCATATGCAGAAAAGTCAAGAAATTTCCCTCACTGACTTTAAATATCAAAATATTCTCTGTAGCTTCATCATTTCCTAGCTAGCCTTTTTCACCTTTCTTTATTCAAGCCTTCTTTATGATATTAAACAACTCAAGCTTTAATTTCTTTAATGGTTTGTGGCAAACGTTAAGGTGACTGAATGGATCGATACTGGTGATCGAGTCCATAGTTAACCGGAGAAATTGATGCAAATTTAAGAAAACTCTGTGGAGATCCGAGACAAAGCTAGGAATTGGGTTAGGGTTTCCCCATGAATTAATGATATAGGAGAGAAAGAGAGCCACGTGTTCTTAGAGTAGTAAGGAGACTTTCATATGAGTATTTTTCTGAGAATTAAGTCATGGATTCCCCAAGGGCATGAACAAAAGAGGCTCTTTCATGTAAAGAAGAAAGCAACAATATAATGTTATTAATTTCGTGACAAGAAACAAGCAAGAGGTCCCAGGGACATACATGGATCATGAAATCTATCCTTATTTCCTCCGATGGTGTGTGCTTGGTTTCATTAATATCGATGATCGCTGTTCCTGCATTCACTTTTGTCAGACTCTTTCCCCCCTTAGAGGGCGAGACGACACTGTGTAACTGGTATATAAGCAGTCATGAGAATCGAGAAAAGTCTGAAGCCTTCTCTCAAACGCACACGAGGGCATGGCAGGGTCAGGCTCATGGATCTATAGTAAGAGTCACTTCTACAGTCTATAGTCCTCCAATTCATCAAACCGCTTTTCCTCTCTGCAATTTCCTCGACATCATCACCAAAGTACTCAACTTTTCTTTGGAATTCTTGGTCAATATTATCAACTTTCCTCTCAGAATATCTCCTGTGCATTCTACCATGGACATTGAAACAATCAGTTCAATAATTTGTGGTTGGAAATAGCCGATGAGGAAGAAAAGACAGCATAGTAGTACATAGTTGTTTTCTGAGTTATAGTGCAGCTAGCTGTGACTGTGAATGGATGTAATAGTTTTTCAGAATGTATGAATTAATGTTGTTGTTGACTCGCTGAAACATGGAGACGTGAAAAAGAAGCAAAAGAAAGAAAGTAGGAGCGAATATGGCAGTGTTTGGGTGAGTGGTTGAAAGAAAAGGACAAACTCCTATGTCCCTAGCTATCTAAGCCCCTATCACTAACTCTTCAGTCTTCACCTCCCCGTGAACCCACCACGGACATGAGAATCCTTTGAAACCAGGATCTCTCTTCGGGAGGAAACACCTTACCCACTGAATAATTAGGTTATTTGTTCCGGGAAAAGATATGGGAAATTTATGGCCTGTTTAGTTCAATACTGCAAGAGAGGATTACATGTCATCTTAATCTAACGAACTGATTCAAACATTTAGTTGGGCGTAATATAGAATAAAGGGAATTACGTTTTATAATCCTAATCACATCAAGTAGATGCATGGCCATTACATTGTTAGCTCGGAACGGTGAATGAGATGCAGATCTCTTGTAATCAGGTGGAAAAGACAATTTTGCCATTATACTTTTTCAAATTGACCAACACAAACCATTTCTTTCTCAAAAAGGCGTTAACTGAATTTCAATTAACTTTAAATTTCTTATATTTATGTTTTTTTTTTGGAAAAATTCTAATTAAATCCATTTGAAATAGAAAAATCCTAATTTAAGCCTACATTTTTAACAAATTCTTAATTGGAGATTTCTAAATGTTGCTAAAAGACCAAAATGCCCTCTGTAATTAAAAAGCCTAATTTTAGTTTTAATTCTTTTAATTGAATTTAACTAACATGTTTTTTCTTTAAATATTATCATATGAAAATTTGGCCAAAAATATTATCATATAAAAAAAATAAAAATCACGATTATGGCCAATAAAAAAAATTGAAGAGTCAAGATAAAAAAAATACATAATTTCTAGATATCCATAGAATTACAAAAATATGGGAACTAATAAAAATTTTACGATTTCAAATGTCAAAGATTAACAGGATCAAAGATTTTTTTTTTGTGTGAGAAAAAATCAAATAAAAGATTCATGAAATTCTTGAATATCTATCAAAATTAATTTTACTGTCTCAAAAATTACATTGAGCTCATCAATTCATCTTCAATTTTTTGGTCTCCAAGATTTATTCAATATCAAATTTTTATTATATAAAAAATAACTAAAGGGTCATAAATTCTAAAGTTGACATAACATTCACAAGTACGAAACACAACTTTGACATAAAGTCTAAGAAAGAACACATCCTCATTAGTAAATCTACTAGAATAATTAAAACTAAAATTAGGCTTACACCTACATTCAATTTTCCTTTTTGATTACAAAGAGGCATTTTGGTCTTTTAGCAACATTTGAAAATCCCTAATTAGGCCTCTTGCCCTAATTAAGAATTTGTTAAAAGTATAAACCTTAATTGGAATTTCATTATTTCAGATGGATTTAATTGGGATTTTTCTTTTTTTTTTTTCAAGTTATCATTATTGATTGCACATATCAAATGAGAGTTTTTATTAATGGATAGTTTTCAATGTAAATAATTGAATAGAGTATCTTAGAAAAACCAATATATGTTTTTTATATATGATTAATTTAACTAATTTTCTTAATTCCTAAAAAATAATTATGGGTTAATACAAACTTTGGTTTTTTAAGTTTATTCTCATTTTGGCTTTGGTCCCTCAAGTGTCAAACTATAGAATTTAGTCTCTTAAGTTTCTCTTTATTTAAAATATTGGTTCCTATAATCCAATAAAAACTTAGACTATTATCTCTGGAGGGACTAAGACTTATAGTTTGAAACTTGAGAGACCAAAACCAAAATAAGAGCAAACTTGAATGATCAAAGATTATATTAACCCAATAATTATTTAACATTTACAAAAGGCAAGGATTCTCAATGCAAATAAGCGCCAATACTTGAATTTCATCTTTTTGTGTTTAAATTTTACAGTCAGTCGTAATTGAAATAAGCATACGTACGTGGATGTGTGAGTGTCATTCAATTGTCTTTACACTGTCCGTAAATAGCAATTATTTGTCTTTTAAAGTTAAGACATCAAAACTGCTACTCAAATTACTGAATTTATACCTTCTCGATCGCTACCATCAACAATTTAAACACTCTCCAAACGTGTAGACTCATTTTGCGTCTAAAAGTGTACAAATTGATTTTTAAAGATTTTCTTAACTGCTAGCAAATTTTTTTTTTGTCAAATATAATATTCGTGGTTGCTGATGACCAAATTTGGCGACGCTTACAGTTAAGATTTTGCAAGGAGAAACTTCGCCTTTTGTTAAACTGTAATGTATGAAAGGAAAGATTGTAATAACGTTACACTTTAAAGAATTAAATATAAAAAAGTTTCTTAAAATCATTAAATTAATCTAAAGTCCCAATAGATTTCACTACAAAAAATTTTATTTGTTTAATTATCAAATTGTCATTTTTTAGAGTATACATTAACAACTGAAAATACAGTTATTAATAACTTAAAATGTAATGATTAACAACTATCGCAGCAGTTATTAACAACCTATGCATTGTATTTTTGTGATATTTTGAGAAAATATATTATTAATACCTGCTGCGATTGTTCTTAATCGTTACACCTTAAATTGTTAACGACTTTTTTTTAGTTGTTAATACATACTTTAAAAAAAGTGAGGGCAATTTGATAATTAAACAAATACAATATCTTGCAATGAGATCCCTTAAGATTTTAAAATAATTTGATGATTTCATGAGACTTTTTTATATTTAATTCTCTTAAATGAGATCTTATCATAATTTTTCCTATGTGAAACCCTAGATCCATTTTCTCAAATTAAAGAGAATAAAATAAAAAAAATGGGTCAATTTTTTTTTTTTGGGGTATAAAACTAATAAAACTCGGGCGATGTGCGCACCAAAGAAAAAGTAAAACTAAAACTAAAACTTAACGAGTCCT